CAAAGGTCAAATCATCCATAAGTTAGTAGGAGCCATCTGCAGGAGATATAGCTGGCCGGTAATGGCAGACCTAATGTATGAAAGACTATTCTGACTCCATTCTGACACCACCCTGCTGTTAGTATCTCAATATACAGAAGAGATGAATTTCTGCCTTTCTTTTTTGTGCATTTATTTTGTTTTTTCACAATTCCAACCAATTTCCAATGCAATAGTGCTCCCTCCTATCTCATGACAGTACAATCAGTCTGCAAGGGCAAAGGTTTGCACCCAGCTCTTCCAACGCATATGAAGGTTGTCATGGTTTCTTATCAAAGTTTTAGCAATGCAGAGCAGAAAGCTATCTCAAAGAGCTCATACGTAACATTCAGGTGCCATGGAACTGTGAACAATTTGGAAGTACACTCCATAGCGACCTGAAGATGGTTTTCTGGTACTTTTTGGAGATGATACTTTCTCACTTTCCCTCCAAATGATAATGCTGTTTCAAAGTTCAGCTTTTGACTACCGCAGAAATAGTAAAAAAGACAACACTCTTATCAACTAAAACTGATGCCCTTTCATTATATGTGATGTAATGATACTAGTGATCAAAGCACACTAGTCATCTGGATATGCCCCAGAAATCTTCAGGCAGCAATGAAAGACAGAAACTGCTAGATAGATAGCAGATGGATAGTGTTGTTTCTTGATGATCCATTCAAGGACCATGCATCACTTTCATGACAGACAGAGACCACAGTCCCACTGCAATACATCTCTACAATGTGGTTAAAATATAAGGTCTAAACTGAACTTTTATCAGAGTAATTAGACATAGTAAAGTATTTATGTGAAAACACTCAATGCTCAGTTCAAAGTGCTGTGAGTAAAAATCATGCAATTGTACATGATGCTACTAGATTCATTAAATATTAACCTATATAGATTCTCTGTGAAATACTATGCTGTATGAAGAAATCATTAGTTGATTTTCCTTTGCGACAATAAAAGGCCTTCAATAATGAGGTCTTATAGAATGGCACCTTTTGCTAAAGTGGTATATTAAATGTGACTGACAACCCAATCTGTGAAGGTCACGTCGGTTCATTCTCACCCTTTAGTTATGGAATTTTCAGAAGAGATTAGAACAGGAGAATCTCTGTCAATCTTAATATGTTGGCAGCTGGCAGAAATTAAGCTTTAGGTCTGAATTGTTCTAAATGGTGAGGAAAGTTAATATTACACACCTGCCTGAAGAAGGTTGAAGAAATCCATCTAAGGAAGCAATGGTAATTACATTTTACTGTAAAACAATGAAGGTAGCTTAACACATACATAATAAAATTTGAAGTATTACATGACATTCCATGATATTCCATTAAACTATATTCTAAATGATATGGTGAAACTATATTGAACAGTGTACACTGTTTGTACACTCAACATCTAAAAAAGCAATCTGAAAAAGCTTAGGAAACTGATACTGTCTTAATTTATTAAAGGTGTCCTTACTCAGGGTAATTGTGAAACTGGAAATAAAAATGTTTCCCTTCATTTGTTTCATTGTGTAGCTGTGATACACCAGGAGTGTCCAATCTTATCTGCAAAGGGCCAGTGTAGTTGCAGGTCCATTCCAACAGAGCAGGAACACGCACAACTAATTGTTGAAGACTAAGACCAACTGATCATAAACATGTGGAATCAGGTTTGCTCCTGCTTGTTTGAAATGAAAACTCACAGCCACACCGGTCCTTTGCAGATAAGATTAGACACCCCTGATCTATACATATGGCAAGATATGTAGCAGGCAGCAGCCTTGGAAAATATGCTTGGATATGGATTTATGTTCAAGGACTTTGCCAAGTTTACACTAATTGACTTAGTTGTGCAAGAGCAGTTTAGGGTTTTACTGCACAGATATGTGTTCAAAAGGCACTCAGAATGTTTGGACTGTGTAACTTTAACAGTGACTGCATGACATCAACACCCCTGCTTTTCCCACATCGACACTCTGAGAAAGGTCGGTTGGCCTTCTGACACTGTCTTCAAGAGTGCAATCCCCTGGTAATCTTCTCATTTTTTCAACATCTGTCTCTCTCTCTTTCTCTCTCTCTCTCTCTGTCTAATCTCCTCCAGACGTGTAGATGCACTGTCCCCTGATGGCCTCCTTCATCTTTTCATCCTGCTGAAAGACAAGCCTCTCCATGTCCCTACTGATGTGACATTTGTGTATGTTCTTGCCGAAATGCTTTTCCCTTGTAAATGACGTCTGGGCTTTCACCACAGAGACAGAGGTCAGACAATTCCTCCATTCAACCAAAGCTGACTGGAGTCACTGCAGGCTTACACTGTATGACTGTAGAGAGTGGAATTAGTGCTGCAGTACTGATGAACTGCAATATCACTATATTTTCTAAATAAATTACGATTTCAGATGACATTTATGTTTGTATTAATGATGTTAATGAACTCATTTGAGCTTGTCTGAACAGCATTTGTTCTCTGGGCACAAATCTGAAGAAATGTTTCAAATCTATCAAACCATATGGATAATAGAGAAGATTTTTTTTTATCATAAAATGATAAAAAATCGAATGGCCACTATTAAGTGTTTTGCTTCACATATTAAATTTAGCTCTCCCAAGAGATTAAAAGACATTAGAGATTACAAGACCTTAGAGCCACGGATAACTTTACATACAATGACCATGCTATATAATCCTCGCTATCTGTCCATATTGCTAAAACTAAAAGTCGGTATAGACTTTTCAGTACAAATGATATGTCACCTCTCAACATGGAGTGAAGAGAGAATATGTACCCCTGTACTCCCAGATGACCTCTCAGACATGCAGTGGGGGCTTAACATGCCTATGGAGCTTAGAGCTTGGGGTCATCATGACTGCAGGCTAACATGCCTTGAAAGTCCTCTCACCTACAACATCTCTCTATCTTACTGTTTCCCTACTATTCTCACTCCTTCACCTCTCTTTCTTGCAAGCCAGGACCGCTCCCCAGCGTGCCTTTGCAAGTGCCTAATAGAACATTAGGGAGTTCACTGGAGCGCTGTTTACGGGAGAGTATTTATAGCAGTCGGAGTGGCACATTGACGTCAGAGGTAATGCCATGTGTTGCAGGCAGGCGTAAACCCACCTCGCGTGTGCGCCCCCTCCCTTACCGTCTCTCTAGGACTGATTGATGACGAGCCACCCGCTGCACCATCTACCACTGTCTGCTGGAGACTCTACAGTCTAACTCCATTAGAACTGCAGACATCTTCCAGACAGACAGCGCTACTGCATAGGTGTGATGGAAATTTTAAGCACTATTCATGGGCCTTTTATGCTTCACCACAAAAGAGTCTCTTATTTCTTTTCATCCATCTGAAATGACAAAATTATGCGTGCTGCTCTTACATGTGGAATCGACCTATCATTGTGGCTACGATGAAAGTGTTGACCAGATTGGCCAGCATCAGACACTGCGCATGAGAGGGGGGTGTTTATGTCACTGTAATAAAAAACACTAAAATATGTACCTCTGTCTCGACCAAACAATGAAGTCTCAGTGAAGCTCTTCTGCGTAATGCCACTGTTTACAATAGCCATGGAGAGATTAAAAGACTGTTTTGAAAAATTGTGCCAAAGTAAAGATAAACAAATGCCCGGATTTTGTGGATACCTCAAATCTCCAGCTGTTTGTTAGTGTGATAAAATGTCTGTTGGTATGATACGGCTTGCTCTCTAGCTCTCTGCTCCCTCTCTTTCTGTCTGTCTTTCTGTCTCTCTCCAACATTGATGAGAGGAAGGATTACACACTCAGAGTGCAATCCATTATTCAGTCAGGCTTTTTATCACTCTATCCCAGCCTAACGGAGGGCAGGGATAATGTAAGCTTAACCTAAAATGCCGAAAAGTCCACACCGCATGAGCTATGATTTTCCAGCTGATATTAATTTTTTTGTTTTTTTTATTTAATTGGACAGAAGCAGTAGGAAGCACACACACTCACATGCACAGAGACACACAAGCAATATGTCAGGACACATTTTCCGAGCACATAGTGTCGTCTAATCACCACAAATCTCAAAAGGTCATGAGAAATAATTTAGTATTCAAACCTTCTCTCAGTCACAGCAATACTGAGTGCCAATCCACCTGGCAACATTTAAATATCAATCTCTCTCTCTCTCTCTCTCTCTCGCTCATTCATACGCCCACTCCCATAAATTTCCAGCAAATACAGGTTATGCTGCTCACTGAGTTTTATAGCACAAAACAGACACATAACCCATCACTGTGACAGCTCCTGCTCTTCTGAGCTTCTCGCTCTTCTGCCTTGAGTACATGTTGTGCTTGCTCTATTGACAGTGTGCCATTGCTAGCAGATCCTAGGCATTGAGCTGAGTGATCTTCCCTGGAGACTGCAGTCTTCAGAAGTCTGTCTAGCTACAAGATGGAAAGAATACATGTAGTCTTCTCCTCTGATCATGCTGCTTTTCTGAAAGTTTTTTTCCTTTGCTTCCTTGCTTGTGAAAAATACTGAAGATGATTAAAGGCATTCTGAGCAAACTGATTGTGCACTTACTTAGGAGACACCTCAGTAATCTCCTCAAACAGCACTGAGACAGATTAAATGGCCATACATATTGGTTTTACATTGCAGCACCTGTTTTAATCAAAATCATACCCCTGAAAAAAAAACAAAAAGGAAAGAAAAAAAATATTGTGATGAGCTCCTGAGAAAAGCCTGGTGTTTCTCCTCTAGAGAAAGGCAGGGGAGCTATTCACCAGAGAGCAAGCGAACAGGTCATACTCGCCTGGACTTTAAATCCCATTGATCCAGCCAATCAATAGCTTCCAATCAACACCTGCCAGCTGTTCTACTAAGCTCTAAGCACTCACAGAAACACACACACGTACACCCCATACAGTGAGTCCACAAACAGTACACTTCGATTGCCATAATCCTAGCATGTCAATTGTAGCATGTCCATTGACCCACAACAGCTTTGTTTGTCATCTGCAAGTGCAGAGAGTACAGAGTTTTTTTTTCAGTTTGACCCAATCCAAGGAGGCAGCACCCACAGGCCTTAGGTGAAAGCTATGAGAATGCCAGGTCACTCAATCAGGTTAGAAATAATGAACAGAGAAGGGCTCTGCACAATGAACCCCATTTCATCAGTTCTTATCTGTCTAGAAATGTGTTGTACAGTTCAAGAGAAGGAAGAGCATTGATAATAGAAGTTGCCATCTGCACAGAAACCTATAACTTCCTTCAAACCTGATGGCAGTCTTCTCCATGGCGTCAGGGCTGTCTACAGCAGGCAGTTCATCAGCAAGGATCTCCTCAGGACTACGTGGATCGATTAAGATCCCTCTTTTGTCTTTGTCTCTGATCCCGATGCCTGCTGTGATAGCGTTCCACAAGGCATTCTGGGACTTGGAGCCTGCAGCAATCAGAGGGTACAGGCTCAGGAGGATAAAACACACAGTGCGATCAAGGAAATTTGGGGCAGGTCTATATAGGTGACTATTCTGTGCATTTTATACAATTAAAGATACAAAATAGAATAGGAATTACATATGATATTATTATTATTTTTGTTATCATTATTATCATTAGTAGTATTTGATTTTATGTACTTATTATTTATGCTTATTTAAGAAGACTGGTGCAACTAGTGGAAATTTCACTGACAGGTTTTTATCCCCCCTGCTGTTCAGTCTGTGCAGGAAAACCTGATGCCCCACTGGCCTACAAGAATGCCCCCACTAATGCTCACTTTTCTTCTGCCACTCTACTGAAATGAGATCAGTGACCTGAAGGCAGGTCAAATATAAAGGAGAAGAGGATATAAGATAAGGCACTCCTCCTTGACCTGGTAGATCCTCAGTCTGGTCTTCAAACAGACAGTGTGCTGGCTAATGCTGCCATCTAGCCTACGTATTGCACATATACATGGTGAAACCTTTTTTCAGAGGTCATTGAAGGAAACAGAAAGCTTACCCAAGTAAAAGAGAAAAACCCTGGTATATTATTTCTGGTAATATTTTCTTTTTTTTTAAACTGCTGAAGTACTAACTTGCAGATTATCTTAAAGTATAAAAGTAGCCCCCAAAAGTAAGGCGGGGAGGGGAATATCTTTTGACACAAGGGTGCATTTCATAGGCTGCATGATTATTGGTTGAATTATCACTCATACTGTTGCACTTTGAGGCCACTGTCACCATGCAGACAAGTTCCCTAATCACTTCTGTACTCTGTACAGAGACGTTCCTTAATCGCTTCTCTACTCTGCAGAGACCTTCCCTAATCGCTTCTCTACTTTACTCTGCACAGAGATGTTCCCTAATCCCTTCTCTACTTTACTCTGTACAGAGACGTTCCCTAATCGCTTCTCTACTTTACTCTGTACAGAGACGTTCCCTAATCGCTTCTCTACTTTACTATCTGTACAGAGACGTTCCCTAATCGCTTCTCTACTTTACTTTGTACAGAGACGTTCCCTAATCGCTTCTCTACTTTACTCTCTGTACAGAGACGTTCCCTAATCGCTTCTCTACTTTACTCTGTACAGAGACATTCCCTAATCGCTTCTCTAATTTACTCTGTAGAGAGATGTTCCCTAATCGCTTCTCTACCTCACTTTGTACAGACATTCTCTAATCCCTTCTCTACTTTACGTTGTGGAGAGACGTTCCCTAATCGCTTCTCTACTTTTTTCTGCACAGAGACGTTCCCTAATCGCTTCTCTACTTTAATCTGTACAGAGACGTTCCCTAATCACTTCTCTACTTTAATCTGTACAGAGACGTTCCCTAATCGCTTCTCTACTTTACTTTATAAAAAGACGTTCCCTTATCGCTTCTCTACTTTACTCTCTGCACAGAGATGTTCCCTAATCACTTCTCTACTTTACTCTCTGTACAGAGACGTTCCCTAATCACTTCTCTACTTTACTCTGTACAGAGACATTCCCTAATCGCTTCTCTACTTTACTTTATAAAAAGACGTTCCCTTATTGCTTCTCTACTTTACTCTCTGCACAGAGATGTTCCCTAATCACTTCTCTACTTTACTCTCTGTACAGAGACGTTCCCTAATCACTTCTCTACTTTACTCTGCACAGAGACGTTCCCTAATTGCTTCTCTACTTTACTTTGTACAGAGACGTTCCCTAATCACTTCTCTACTTTACTCTGTACAGAGACGTTCCCTAATCGCTTCTCTACTTTACTCTGTACAGAGACGTTCCCTAATCGCTTCTCTACTTTACTCTGTACAGAGACGTTCCCTAATCGCTTCTGTACTTTACTCTGCACAGAGACGTTCCCTAATCGCTTCTCTACTTTACTCTGTACAGAGACGTTCCCTAATCGCTTCTCTACTTTACTCTCTGTACAGAGACGTTCCCTAATCGCTTCTCTACTTTACTCTGTACAGAGACATTCCCTAATCGCTTCTCTAATTTACTCTGTACAGAGACGTTCCCTAATCGCTTCTCTACTTTACTCTCTGCACAGAGACGTTCCCTAATCGCTTCTCTACTTTACTCTGTACAGAGACGTTCCCTAATCGCTTCTCTACTTTACTCTGTACAGAGACGTTCCCTAATCGCTTCTCTACTTTACTCTCTGTACAGAGACGTTCCCTAATCGCTTCTCTACTTTACTCTGTACAGAGACGTTCCCTAATCGCTTCTCTACTTTACTCTCTGTACAGAGACGTTCCCTAATCGCTTCTCTACTTTACTCTGTACAGAGACGTTCCCTAATCGCTTCTCTACTTTACTCTCTGTACAGAGATGTTCCCTAATCGCTTCTCTACTTCACTTTGTACAGACATTCTCTAATCCCTTCTCTACTTTACGTTGTGGAGAGACGTTTCCTAATCGCTTCTCTACTTTTTTCTGCACAGAGACGTTCCCTAATCGCTTCTCTACTTTAATCTGTACAGAGACGTTCCCTAATCACTTCTCTACTTTACTCTGTACAGAGACGTTCCCTAATCGCTTCTCTACTTTACTTTATAAAATGACGTTCCCTTATCGCTTCTCTACTTTACTCTCTGCACAGAGACGTTCCCTAATCACTTCTCTACTTTACTCTCTGTACAGAGACGTTCCCTAATCACTTCTCTACTTTACTCTCTGTACAGAGACGTTCCCTAATCGCTTCTCTACTTTACTCTCTGCACAGAGACGTTCCCTAATCACTTCTCTACTTTACTCTCTGTACAGAGACGTTTCCTAATCACTTCTCTACTTTACTCTGTACAGCGACGTTCCCTAATCGCTTCTCTACTTTACTTTATAAAAAGACGTTCCCTTATTGCTTCTCTACTTTACTCTCTGTACAGAGACGTTCCCTAATCACTTCTCTACTTTACTCTGTACAGAGACGTTCCCTAATCGCTTCTCTACTTTACTTTGTACAGAGACGTTCCCTAATCACTTCTCTACTTTACTCTGTACAGAGACGTTCCCTAATCGCTTCTCTACTTTACTTTGTACAGAGACGTTCCCTAATCGCTTCTCTACTTTAATCTGTACAGAGACGTTCCCTAATCACTTCTCTACTTTACTCTGTACAGAGACGTTCCCTAATCGCTTCTCTACTTTACTTTGTACAGAGACGTTCCCTAATCACTTCTCTACTTTACTCTCTGTACAGAGACGTTCCCTAATCACTTCTCTACTTCACTCTCTGTACAGAGACGTTCCCTAATCGCTTCTCTACTTTACTCTGTACAGGGACGTTCCCTAATCGCTTCTCTACTTTACTTTGTACAGAGACGATCCCTAATCACTTCTCTACTTCACTCTCTGTACAGAGACGTTCCCTAATCACAGGATAATGATGTCCCATAGACATCATACCATGAATGACTTCCAGGCATCATACCATTAAGCAAGTTATTAATAAACACTACCCTCTCAAAACAGATGTGTTAAAAACAGCACATCTTGTCCATAGCTAGACAGATTGATGTGTTCAGTTAAGGACAACACACTTTGTGTTACTTAATACACAAAATGTGTTGAAGTATTTGTGTAACAAGTTACGAATAACATAAATTTTCAAATACTTCTAACACAGAATGTGTTAAAAGTAACACAAAAATGTGGAAAAATGGGTAACACAGGTAGATGTGTTGTTAGTTAACACATACAATTTTAGAGTGTAGCTGTGTACCAAAAGCTAGACTGTGATCCAAGCTGCACTTCTAAACTGCTGTCGTCCAAGACTGTTCAAATAAGACAAATCCTTCAAATACTGCCAAAATACCCAGCTTACATTCTCACAATTTCTGAGGATGCTAACAAAGTATCATTCACGGTCTAATGTCACCCACAACCCTTAGTGCACATGTCTGGCCCATTGAAAGTTCAAGAGTAACGTCAGCAGATGAAACCAACTACTACACACTGTTTAAAAAAGACAGTAAATTATACAGTATAGTAACATATACTTCACATAGTTTTTAATGTATCTGTTTAAGAGAGTGTAAATTGAATGCAGCATGTGAAATTCAACTGCTTCTGGTGAGTTGAACAGTTTTTTGCTCGCAAGATACCATTTTATTACAAACAAATTGTTTTGCCTGCTGCATTTACCCTAGCTCCTACCATTTCATTGTTCTCACCTGTGACTAGCTCCTCCTCCTTGCTTACTGTTGTCACCTATATGTCATCAGCTTGTGTACAAAGTTTTAAGCTTTGCAAATTGTTATCTCATTTTGTCAATTTTTTTCCCTGTTTTCTTTATGTCCTTAGTTTCTTATATATTCTTTTTCTAGTCTTTCAATTTAATATAGTAAGTAGAGATGTAACTTACAGTCTCAATGCAGCACTATTATTTTTATTTTTTTTGTTAAAACTGAAAGAAGTAGCGCTACTAAGTCAGGAGCGCTGCTATGAGTCGACCTGTAAAGCCAGAAATATTATATTTATATATATTTAAATATATATTAAATATATATTATATTTTATACATATTTAAAAAGGCCGAGGTGTCGGGAAGAATTTCTCTGAAGTTTAAAAACCACATCATATGTTTTTACAAATTCACATTACACATACAGGCTCAAAAAGAAGCTCAGCTCGATGCTGACAACCCTATTTCCAAAAAAGTTGGGATGCTGTGCAGAATGTAAATAGAAATAGGATACAATGATGTGCAAATCATGTTAACCATATTTTTAAACTACAAAGACAACAAATCAAATGTTAAAAATGAGAAATTTGATTGTTTGAATTTGATACCAACAACATGTTCCAAAAAAGTTGAGATGGGGCCATGTTTACTACTTTGTTTCATCACCTCTTCTTTTAACAACACTCTGTAAGTGTTTGGGAACTGACGAGAACAATTGCTGTAGTTTTGAAAGTGAAATGTTTTCCCATTCTTGTTTGATATAGGTGCTGCTCAACAGTTCAAGGTCTCCTATATTGTATTTTTCATTTCATAATGCGCCAAATGTTTCAGTGGTGACAGGTCTGGACTGTAGGCAGGCCAGTTTAGCGCCCTGACTCTTTTAATATGAAGCCATTCTGTAATATATGCAGAATGTGGTTTGACATTGTCTTGCTGAAATAAGCAGGGCCTTCCCTGAAAAAGACGTCGTCTGCATGGCAGCATATGATGCCAAAACATGTATATATCGTTCAGCATTAATGGTGCCTTCACAGATGTGCACATCACCCTTGATATGTTCACCATCATGAATACTGGCTTTGGAACTGTGCGCTGATAATAAGCTGAGTGGTCTTTAGCTCAGAGGACACAGCGTCCGTGATTTCCAAAAAAAATTTGAAACATTGATTCCTCAGACCACAGGACACTTTTCCACTTCTCCTCAGTTCATTTTAAACGAGCTTTAACTTGCATTTGTGGATGCAGTGATGAACTTTTTTTAGAAGTGTTTCTGAGCTCATGCAGTGATTTCCACTACAGAATCACATTTGTTTTTAATGCAGTGCCGCCACATGGTCCAAAGATCAAAAAACAATAAAAATTTCTCAGTTTCAACATTTAATATGTTGTCTTTGTACTAATTTAAATGAAATATTGGGTTTGAATGATAAACAATAAGCAACACTGCATTTTGTTTTTATTTACATTTTGCATAGCATCCCAACTTTTTTGGAAATGGGGTTGTAGATAATTCACGTCTATCCTCAGAACAAATGTCCTGCACCAAGTTTTGACAGTTTTCTTTGAATAGTCTTTTAACCCGCTTGCAGACATTGGATTCATCCACTCATGGGGGTCAGAAGCACAACCGATGACAGAAAATGTTGAATCCATCCACATGTTGCATGCAATTACACATTTCCACCAGAGAGGGCCAAAATCCTTAAATATTACATAGTGCTGTTTTAAGGGTATTTTAGTCACAGAACTAAGATGGACCTTATGCAGACCTAACATAGATATAGACCTTCTTGATCTTATCAGCCTGTTCTCAATTGTTTTAACTATGAGTATTCTGTTGTTGTATGGCTGTTTCCTGACACTTCATCTGTTTGATTAAGTGACTCTATGCTCAATACATCCTAAATCCCATACATATATATATATATATATATATATATATATATATATATATATATATATATTTATAGTACAAGCTCAAACAACATTATCTTATCACAGCGTTCACTTAAACTGTATTACATTAAAGATACTCACGTGCAAAGCGGGCCAGGGGCCTGGGATTGCTCTCCCCTGTTTCATTTGCCACTGCAAATAGAGAAAAGGAAAACGTGATGGAGAGATGAGCATACATGGCCTGAGGGCTGCATCTGTTCCTCTAGGTGAAGAGATGTCCCAACCCATTCTAAAAAAGTAATTTACATTAGTACATTTTCTGAAATATCAGAAATGAATGCAATGACCAAATAGCTTATATTACTTATCGTAATGGTAAAACACATTCACTGATATGCATTAATGCATAAAATATTTTACACTTTCACAGAATCTTTGATTTTTTTCTATCATTTGAATATTAACACTTCATAACAAAGACAGAATATACATATTCAAATGTTACTTCATCTCAAGCTTATTCAGCAAACACTGTTCTAATTCAGGCCTTATACTACTCCAGTTCTTCCATCACACAATATTAAAAAAAGAAAAAAACTGAGGGATTTAATACCAAACACTACTGAGTTTCCACAAATGGTTATGAACGGTTACAAATGAACTCATATTACAATGTATATCAATGTAACGTTTTCAAAGGAAAAGAAATTGCAATTTGACATTGTGCAAGCAGTCAACAGTGAGGGGAGTCAAATGAAGTCTCTGATGAAGGTAGTTTGTTCTGTTCTTCTAAGAGGCCTGCTGGGGGTTTTCAAAGGGAAAAAGCTGAGGGTAGACTGTAGCTTTGTGTTGTTTGATAGTGGAGACAGCCAAAGTACAAGGTCACACTCTGGGGATGTATCTGTGTTTGTGCAGGTGGGTGGGTGTCATGACAGAAAGTAGAGAACATCAGTAAGTGGTCCCAGTGGAGTTTAGAGCTGAGGGAGATCACAGATACTGGCTTGTTTCTGAGATAGAACACTGAGATACCGAGGCAATGTGGTGGTAATCCGAAGCCCCACAAGTCTGCAGGCTGTCAGCAGTTCAGTGTACATGTGCCCCACGTGACAGAGTGTGTGGTATGTTTATTTTAAAGGTCTCTGCTGTAACTGCTCCATGCTACAAGCAAATCTTTCCCTTTATGGTGCCGAGCACGACAAATGTCAAACACCATCAGCAAAGACGCGAGACAGAGGCTTAGTATGGGCCAAAGGGAACACTCATTCAAGTGTTATTTACACAAAGTAAGAAGGTGGGCCACTCATTATATTATAAAACCCTTTTAGGAGATATATCATAACTCACTTCAGGCTATCAGTTGATTCTTCTCTTTACAACAATTTATGTTTGACAATGTTTATGTTCAAGTTTATATGTCAATGCTGTCATGTCAAAATAAAAGTCTCATTGTTTAAAAATGCCAGCTGCACTTTACATAACGTGAACACTTCATGATGTTTGGATCAAAACAAAATATCCCAAAAATCTCATTAACATAGGTTAATAAGTTACCAGGTTACCATTTCAATGATATGAGATTTTATTATGGCAGAAATTATGTTTTTCTTACAATTAAATAAGTGTATTAGTGCACTGAACTAAGAATGTGTAAGAAATATGTATATGTAAGAGATATGTATAAAAAATGTGTTCAGGATAAAATTTTAACTTAACAAAGTAAAGTTTAGATATATTATAGATTTAGTTTTTTTTGTTTTGTTTTGTTTTTTTGTTTTTTTTTTAACATTAGAACATTAACAATACATGCGGCAATACAAGACAACCTGGCTTGGGCACCCTTCTTTTTAACCCATCACCCACTTCTATTAAATGCTTGAGTGCTTGAAATTTCTGTAAAAAGGGCAAATATAGTAATATAGTACATTGTAAAAAACAATAATAATTTACATTATTATTATTTTTTTATAATTATTTTAAAATCAAATCGTAAGTTAAAATAACAGTTATTGTGTGTTATTCTGTTAACTCATAAGTTGAAATACAATAATATTAAAATTTTAAGGCATCCAGCTTACTGACTTTAAGGCCAAATGAGTTTTAACAGTGTACATAAAAAAACACACAGACCGAGCCCACGTTAACGTGAAAAAAACATGTAAAATATACAAAACATTGCACAGCCCTGCAGACATCCAACAATGTTTATCAGAACACAAAAATACCAAGAGTAAATGCTTTGCTTTATCATGATCTTTTATATTTAAAATATTTCTTCTTTGGTTTAGCAAGAAGAGTTTCACTGAATGACTGTTTAGCTTTTAAAATATTTAAAAACTACAGATAAAATGTTTCTGTGTTAATTTAAGTATTTAATAAGGCTATTCAAATGTAGAGAATGACACAAGCAGTATCATGTTATAATTTTAAAATAAATTTGTTTTATTTTATGCTTATTGTAGCGATCAGTTGGATCTGGCCTCTAGAAGCCTGTGAGGCATGGCCATGCCAGGAGGATCATGGGAGGTACACAAAAGGGACTTAAATGTTGTTTATGTTGTTGTTCGTCGGTTAAAGACGTGTTTATGTTTTACTTGTGTTGTTCTGTGTCAGAGAGTGGGTTTATTTAGTGTGGGTTGGTGGTCACTGTGAGGGAGAAGTGTGGGGCTCGTGGTTACCTTCCCCATGGGTTCAGTGCTTTATATGTGCCCTTCTGCCTTGGGGTTTGGTGGGGAGCACTCCTTGTAATGGCATTATGACCAGTCCCTGTGTCTTACTCTATGCCAACACTTCACTGTTGTCAGATATAGAGTGGTGGTACCACCCCAGTGGACTGATGAGGCACAATGGTGAGGCCGGTATAGGAAGGCTCAAGGAGGTGGTGCAGCAAGGCACGACAGTGGTGCCAGCGAAGGTGGGACCGTTAAAGGACTTAGCATGCAAGCACTGTGATGAGCAACAGAGCAATTGCTGAGCAGGCACTGTGGAGAGAAAGGACACTGCTGCAATGGATGCTGGCTGGGAGGTTCAGAGGCGACTGCATGCTGTGGGTCAAGTGCAGTGTGGACAGCTAATGGCTCATGCTTGTCATTACGGGCTCGCCGATATCCCCACTATGACCAGACATACTTGCTCACACCAAGACAGGCACATCAAACAGCTGAAAAGCAATAATTCTCCAGCTCAGGTCAGTCACCTGCAGCAGAGGCAGGGCCCTTACAAACTGCACTCACTGTAGTGTTGATGGTGTGGTGGGCAGCTGACAGCATGGATGGTGGCTGGGTGTAGTGCCGTGGTTGCTGCTTCACAAGATTTGACACAGCGCACTGTGTTTTGTGATATACAGAAGCTGCAGCAGCAAAGACACAGACCTGGGTCAGGACTGGGGGCACTTGATGCAGAGGAGCAAGCGCCCTGTGGCTTTTGTGCTGGCTGGGACTGTGAGCACACCCCGGGACTTTGCACAAACTGTTGCTCAACCTTTGAAGTGGGGCTATGTAGCGACCCATTACTGTCTGGTGCCGGCCTCTAGAAGCTCATGAGTTGTGCCCATGCTGATAGCCACACCACGAGGATCATGGGAGGTATGCACACTGCAGAAAAGGCACTTAAATGTTGTTTATGTTGTTGTTAGTCAGTTAAACATATGTCTTTATGCATTATTTGTGTTCTGTCGGCGATAGGGTTTAGTTAGTGTGGGTTGGCGGGTTTGGATTCCTCAGTGGTCACCACGAGGGTGAAGTTTATGGCTGGTGGTGACCTCCCTTGCAGGTTGGTTTGTAAGAGCTTTTCTGGTCTGGTGTTTGATGGAGAGCACCTCTTGTGATGGAGTTATGGCCTCCTCTGTGTTCTACTTTTCACCGACACTACATTATCAGGAACTGCTTAATTTGTTTAAATGGATGAACTGCCCCTGATAAGTAGGGCACTCTGAAATGCTGACTGTCCAAAAAAACTTTATAAACAGTCTTTTTTGTAGACCATATTATTGTGTAGACGCATTGCAACCAACCGCATGTGATTCCAATGCAACAAGCGCAACGCACTAAAAAAATACAACAAGTCACTTACAAAAAAAGAGGAATGGATAACACATGAAAATTTGGACGAGACAGGGTCAAGTGAGAAAGAAAAAGACAGAGTCAGGGACCATAGATTATTAAGTGGAGACAGGCACACCATTGTGGCAGATGGATAATGAGGGGGATCAGAGAGCTTCAGAAGAGAAGACCTCTTTAGCCTGGTGAGTTGGTGGGGACTGTACTGTGTCCAATCTGTCTGCACTCAGGAGAAGGAAGAGGGCACTTCATTAGTGATAATGATTCCCCATGCGCTACGGAGAAACTCCAGTAATTCCGTGACGTCTGAGGGTCCCCACCGAGGGGTAGGCACACTCCCATTTTCCCTCCTCCTCCAGCCCCAGGGCTCTGTCTCCATCTCTCCATCCATCCCCTTTACCTAACTCTGAGGCACACTGATTAGCCAACAGGTGCTCTAATGAGCTCTCTGCTGGGTTCCCCGTCCGCACACACACACAAACACATACACACATAGGTTTGTTTATATGTAATGTGAGGACTTGGAGTTATAGTTTATGTACATATATATATATATATTTGAGCCTAAACTTTGCTCCAGTAAGCAAAAAGAAATGTTTTAGCTTTAAAAAATGAAATGCAGCTTAGGTAAAACAAAACCATTTTGTTTTTGTGATATTTAAGGTTACAGCATTGTGCAAAGTACAATAACTTACTGAAATTAAATTTCAGTCAAAATGGCAATTACGTTGTTTTTTTTCTTAGTAGATTTATTACTAATTAAAGGAGAATAAGTAAAAAAAAATGCTGGTGATCAAAAAATAATGGGACTCCTAAGAACTAGATAATGGGACTCCTAAGAACCAACAAAACTGACACCATCAGATAAGCAGCACTTTAAGGCGCAGTATAGGATACTGAAGAATGATTATTGATATTTGAACAGCAAAACAAATACATCCCTCTCTTCAGTTCTCCTTCAGAAGCTCCACCCCCTAACTTCATGGATGTGCATTGCCAATGCAAACAACACTGGGCTAGCAAACATTTTTTTGTAGATCTTCTTGGCTGTATGGAAAAATACCATGGTACAAACAGGATAACACAATACTGACCTGTTGGTTCTCTGAAACAGCAAAAATAAGTTAATGTTAGCCACCTGTCAAGCAGAAGCAACCTCCTCATCTCTTTTCATGCCTTTCAACTTCTGTGAAGCTGAAGGCAGCTACTTTTTCACCAGCTTCTTGATCAAATTTTCCCGTTCCACCTTAAATGGTGCAGCAGTTACATTCAAGCATCAGAGTGGAAGTGCTGCATGATTTAAGGTAGAACAAAAAAATGGAAATATGAAGCTAACTTCAGTCTTGTTAACTTTCTGAGCAACTTGTGGAGTTCAGTATGCAGCCCCTCCCCTTTCCCCTGCTGTTGATTGGCTGAAATAGTGTAGTGTCCTTCAGCCTGAGAAATTTTGTTTATTTCTCATTTACAAAGGCAGGGCTGTGTACCAACACTGGATTTTTTCCAGCAAGCACATAGAACAGAGAGCTAGCAGACCATGAGAAGACATTCGCTGAATTTGATAAAAAGTGTTTTGGACTGAAATCGTATACTTCGCCTTAACCCCTTCATACATGGTGCCCATGCTTGTGGATAGTTAATACTAGTTCATTTTAAGGTATATACAATGTGTTGTAACCTCCAAATCACTATATAGTAGAGTCATAAGGCCCATTGCTCCAATATAACAAAAGACATTCTCCTGAATTATATTGTATTCTTGAGTGCTGAAGAATCCAAGATGGCTGACAATAACAAGAATACAGCCAATATCTCTGGTATATCTCAAAGTTCAAAGTTTCTATTCAAAAAGGCTTTAAAAATTGTGTTAGATATATTCTAATGAACATAATCAGATTTCTTAAACTTTCTTAAAACTTTCTGTTTTTATGCTTAGCAAAAGTGGACATCATGCAAGAATGGCAATAAATGGCTATATGTATACATGTATATGAATAATAGCAGCACAAAATTATATTTGTTGCAGTTAACAATTTCATAAGTTGAAAATTGAATATAAAAATAATTTTTAAAATCTATAAAAATTACTAGGCTAGAAGTGCTGTCACCAAGAATGCCATGCTGCTATGAATTGTGCAAAATGAAGACATGATACATGTGTCCTGTGTCAGTTTTCCCTCTGTCCAGACTGTTTTGAGGGATTTCACAGCAAGAAATAAGAGTAGAGTAACTCACATGTGTTGCTACCACTGCCTGCCTGTAACTATCACAGGACTTATCACTAAATTCCACTCTGAACAGCTCTATGAATTTTTTTATTAACTGTTCTATTGTTAAGTGTTGTTGCTTTCAGGATTCTTTTAACAGAACAGAAATGACTTTTTTAATGATATGAGGATGAACCCTCACAAATTTTCAAATGTTTTGCACTTTTTAATTAAAAAGTTATAAGGCAGTGTTTTTTGAACAAGAAAAAGAAGCTTAGAGTTCAGCATTGTTTGTATTAAATATTAGTTTTACAATATATTACATTTAAAAGTTAATGAAATATATAATGAAACATAAACATGCTCGTATGTTCTTTCATTGTTTTACTCCGCTGATGCATAGCGTCCACGTATGTGGACAGTTCAATAACTTTTTACTAGTACTGGTTTTTATGTAAAAAATCAGTTGAATGCAAATGAAAATTCATTTGATCTTTTATGCAGATCTCAGTAATAATAATCTAAAAAAAAAAAAAGCTTTAAAAATCTGAATACAATTTCTACTAATTTATGCATGAAAGGGTTCAAAGTTTTTATCTTTGAGAGAGAGGAGAAAATCAAGTTCCACTCTTGCTTCATATCTGAAAAATCCACAGGTGTTTCTGTCCATCCTTGCACTATGAGAAGAACTCACAGACTACTGGGTCTGAAAGAATGTGTAGCTGTCAAGAAACTGTTATTGAGAAAAGAAAATAGACAAAAAAAAAGAAAATTTGCAAATCAAACAAAGAAGCTGCTGATGTTCTCAAAACAAAGGACTGACCACTCCAGAGTACAGACCTCAACATCACTGAATGTGTTTGGGATTAGTTGGATTGTGAGAAGCAGAAAATACGAACAGGTTCTAATACTGGACTTTGGAGTGTGGAAAAATATCCCTGAAGATTTTTTTTAAAAACTAAAAGCAAGTCTTTCAAAAAGAATGGAAGGCAAAAGGTAAACATATATTTATATGTTGTGAGATTTGGCCACCGAGATTATTTTTCACTGATTTTCTAAGTAAAAATAAGTTAACATATCCTCTACTGAGAACACACTTCTGCACATTTTAATTACTCAGTTACTGTTTATTTGCTGAATTTAACATATTCAGAGAAAAAAAACAAAGATCTCCCACAATTTATTTATTTTTGCCCCATATGTTAAACTCAGCACAACAATACAAATTGTGTGCTAAGATTTGTATATAATAATGTATATACTAATATATTATGTATAATACATAGTAATATACTATATACAATAATATTTATGTGTGTTCTCCGTAGAAGATGCGTTAACTCATTTTCACTCAGAAACTCAACAAAACTGACTTTGGACATTCAAACTTTCACATAAGACTGTATACGTTGTCTTCTTATTTTTCTGATGCTGAAATATGAACAATTTGTACTTCATGGCTGAGTTGATTGTAAATGAAATAAAAGAAGGATATTTTCTGACTTTTGCACAGTAATGTACATCTGTTTGTCTCTGGTTTTCCCTACGAAGTCTAGACACTTTGTCTTGAAAATGTTTGAATACAAACTCAGATATGCACACACATAAAGGGCCAAAAGAGGAGGAGACTGACTTGTTTGTTACAAAGCAACAGGAATCAGTGTATAATGATGACATCACATGATGCTACCCCTCACCCCCCACCTCCCCGATTAGTGGCCATGGCGACAGTAATCACAAAGGCAGCTGGATGGCACACACAGGTTGTACGAGAAAGTCCCTTCTCTGCCTGCTGTGGTGTAAAGAGCCACGCTGTTCATAGTCTTCATCTACAGAATGAACACTCACACAAACACACTCAACCAGTCATTCAATCACAGCTAATAGACAAACAAAAGCCCACTCAGCGGCTCATCTCTTCAAACAAAAAGCAGTCCCTGGTCCATTTTCCTCTCATCATGTTCCAGCTATCTGATGAACTGGACACTTAGTGCACACTCGTATGGTCACATGGTAGCACAGCAGAGAGTCAAACTCCATCAACAACAATGTTCAATGTCCAGGAAAACGAGAAGAAGAACCATGTTGATATTGTGCAGCATGCTCCCAGCCTCCTTCCCTCTGCCTGCCTCCATCCTTACTGATTGTGGCCTGTTACATAAGCACTGCCACTTGACCTTTGAAAGGGTGTAATTACTCCCATCCTATGTTCTCCGAAAACAGCTGTCATGTCATTTTGCCACTTGGGCTGTATTGTTCTTTGCTTGCTTCCATACAAACGCCTAGGGGCACACAATCCGTCAGGAGAATGGGGCGCTTCATGCTATCCTATGAAGCCCTCAACATTTGACAGAATTGGAAAAGAATTCATGCTTCGGAGGACAATTCATAATGTGTCGTGACTCATTGTGCATAAAGACATTATTATTATGTAATCTAATTCTGTTCAGGATGACTGCAAGAAAGCCTTTAACATTCAAAACAACAAAACAAAACAATGAGACAAGTATAATTTCTCACTGCATTAAACTAATTATATTTCTGGGATCCATGGAGAGAGAAATGCATAAAAGAAAATGAAATTGTTGAATAAAGTGCAATGTATTACATACATTACACTCAGTGTTTGCATTTTGTCTGCACACCCACTAAACTCTCCCACATGTTCACTTCATTAGCTTTTTCTAATGAGCATTCTTGCTTTACTTTCCATTTCAAAGATGCATTGGCACAGTGTACAAAACTGATTCATGCAGTTCACTCATAAACAACCATCATAATTGCTTTCAGCTGTTAGCACACACGCACAGGCTCCAGCACTTGGTAAACAGTGAGATTAAAAACACAGGCTGCGTTACACTCACTCACTCACACACCCACACCTGACCATCAGTCTTACCGATGGTGAAGCTGAACCCATCAATGCTGAACGTGGCACTCCGGCACTTTTTGAATCCTTGTTTTTTGAAGGTGGGCTCTGTCATCTTGCTCCAGAAGCTGCACTAGACGGTGGACTTCTCTGCTTGTTGTTGTCAGTCTGTGCGAGACTGGAGAGAGAGAGGGGCTTGCTGGTTGGAAACCGTCCCCTGGAGAGGTGGCGTGCGTGGGCAGCGAGTGCTGGAGACTTGCTCCCTGGGTGCAGAGGAGCACGTGGTGGAACCAAAAGCAGGGTGTGTGTGTGTGTGGTGAGATCAGGATGGATTATTAGAAGTGTGGTGTGAAGATTTAATGCATCCCGCTGGAACTCTTCTGCCCCCTCAGCAAGTCTTCCTCTACACAACTCTGCACACTCTTGACTGCATCCCAGGTCTGCTCATGTGCCAGTGAATACAGAGGAACTGCTGAAGATGGACACATTCCACTTTATCTTTCTCTATTCCTCTTTCTCTTATTGACTGTACTCTCTCTTTCTCTCATGCTCTCTTTCTACCTCCCTTACTGTGACACTCCCCAATGCACAGCTTTCATAGCACGATTAGCAAAGCGCTCTCTCTCTCTCTCTCTCTCTCTCCTGTCATCCTCCCTCTGTATCTCTCTCTCCTTCTCTTTCCCTCTTTCTCTCTCTCTCACTCACACACATACGCCTCCTCTTTCTCTCTTCCACCCTCTCTTTTTCTCTTATTCTCCTGCTCTCTCTCATTCTCTCTCTCTCTCTCTCTCTCTCTCTCTCTCTCTCTCTCTCTCTCTTTTATTAACCCACTCACTTAAGTGCTAATCATATGTTCTGACCTTGTGAGCTACTGACCAACTCTGCCTACTGAAAGCAGCGTGCTGTGCTGTTTATTCATGAATTCATAAATATCTTTACTATTATACAGCCACTGGGTGAGTATTTGTGTCACACGTCCCTGCATCTGTTTTCATGACACAATATCATTTCACCAAAACATTTACTCATGCACGCAGCTCTGATGAGTCTAATGGATGTTAGAGGAGTTAAGTAGTCAGATTTAAAAATAAATTAATTAATTCAAAGAGAGTGAGCATAAGTATTATAAAAAGAGAGAGGAAATGAGAGAGCACTTATATTACATTTCATTACGCAAGTGTTTTTTCACATCACTTATGCTGAAAAAAAGTGATGCATTGATTTAAATGTGCATATCATTTCCAAATGATTTCCAATTACTGACAGAAAACTGAAAGACAAGACTGCATTAATTTAATATACTGTGTTCATGTGGAAGCACACATTACAATCAAGAGAGTTAGACAACGACTGTGTCCAAAACCACATACTACCATACTACGTATACTACGCTAATGAAATACTTAATCACAGAGATGTGATCCTCCACAGGTGTTCTCTTACCCACCCCATCCATATGATTACCAACTCAGTGTACCAGTATCATATAGCTCCTCAAAGACATAACTGTAACTGTAATTTAACTGCACTATTCTTTTCATATATCAGTAAATGATCAGTAAAAGCACAACATATTTACATTTCTTTGAAATAAATAACTGTGTCATATAGGAATTAAAAGTGGTGTGTTTTTGCATTGTAATTTGATGTCTTGAACTTTATCACTAATAATAACAATAAAGTCACAGCAGGAAACTGAAAAACAAATGAAGCTCAGCCTAGAGGACTGCAGGAGTCTTTTAACTCTGGTCTAAAATCAACATAATCAGGAGCTCTTTCATTTCAAGCGACAATACTGTGTCAGTCATAATAATATGAAGGTGGTGAAGGGGGTGAGTTGTCTGATGTTTAAGTGCAAGAAACAGGGCTCTTTCATTCACTGTATCCTTCCATTTATCTTTGAAAAAGGGGGCAGAGTGCACCTAGTTACTCAGAGGAGGAGTGTTGTGTGAAATTTAGAGAGAGCTGATGAAAGAATAAGAGAACAGAGAACAAGCTTGTACCTTTATGAACATGCTCAAGCTTTTGGTATGGCTCATCTTATTGAAAGAGTCGGCGAATAGCTGACAGCTATTAGGACAATTTAGATTGCGGTAAGTATAAATGCATAAGCACAATGAGGAGCAGTGATAAGAAATGTAAGATAAAAGAATGTGATCCTTTTGTTCCCATTCAAGTCCTTATACAGTATACTGTACTACCACTCACAAAGCCAACAGGCTTATTTTCCGCTATGACAAAAATTAGTTATTGCTAGCTTTCTGTGCACATCTCGTTACCATAGACAACAGGTGAACAGAAAGTGTATTTTCTGCAGCTGCGGAGGAGTGAAGCACATCCATTCCGCCTCAAGGCCACTGGGAGCCACTGGCAGGAGAGACTATTGTGATGGAACATGTCACTTGGTAACCACACAAACACCTTTTTCTTTCTTTCATTTCCACCTATACTGCTGTAAGCAGAGGAGAAGAGGGGTGGGTGAAGGGGTTAAAAGGGGAACCTGAAACTTATTGCTCTCATATGTTTTCAGCTTGGTGTCAGATGGAGGTCAGTATGAGGTGCATACTAGAATGGCTGCATCAAAGGGGAGGTGTTGGATCACATGTGTACTCTCTCTTAAACGAGAGGTGTAGGAGCTGTGTATGATATGTCTTGAGTTACTATGCAACAGGTGGCTAAAGGGTGGCATTTAATCATTGTTTCTTTAAGACCTCAAACGTTGAGCTGATTGAGCAATACCAGGTTGATTTTACTTGCGAGCCACTGTTTTCATGCATTGCATGTAATATAGATTCACCGGCACCTTTATTTGGAACACAATGTGTTTGGTATACATGTTAAGTACATCTGCTTAGTCAAGCAATTACTCAATCAGCCAAGCATGTATCAGCAGCACAATGCATAAAATCATGTAAACATAGGTCTGCATTCTGCAGCCAGTGCGCAAAGTTGACTTCTAGCCATCACAACTTCAGAATGATTTAATCATCAAGTTATGACCAATCATCAGTGAGTAATCTTCGAAAAATGACCCATAATCCACTCTATTACCTGATACCAGTTCTCTGCTTTTAGGCTTCATATCACAACAAAGGGTTAGTACAGTGACATGATCCACACACCGCAGTAATCAGCAGCATTCTCTCTAGCCAGAGTGATTTCATCCAGGTGCAGAAAAGTATCAGCCAGTAATCCAACTCGAAAAAGACCCAAATCCACTCCACATCCTGTCTTTATATCTCTTTTTATATCCTCCATATAAATGATGTACTGCACATGTTTTGGTCCAGAAATTCTCCTCATGTCTCATGAGGAAAATTTCTGGACCAAAACCTGTGACAAGTAAACACGAACAGGTTTGCTTACTCTCTGAGAGAGTAAGGGAAGGGCGTAATTAGGTAACAGAAGGCTGTGTTCCAATAAGTAAGACTGGGTCAGGAACCAATAAATATTTAAACAGCAATAACTAAACAAATAATACTACTAGTCAGCTCTTTATTTTAATTTACATTGATTTTTAGTATTAAAAACAGTAAACATCAAACTCAATTTTTGAAATAAAAAATAAAATCTTGCCGCCTATCAGAGTTTTAGCACTGAACATGAATCCATAAGGACTGAATATGAACAAAAACATTTTTTTAACAATAAAATCTTGCTTGCATGTCGCAAGTCTAACAATTTATGAAAATATATCCAAATTGACGATTGTTTTTATAGTCTGTAGGAGAGCAGGGCACAACCTGACACATTTGGGTTTTTGCTAAATAATTAAAAAAATATTTAGGTTAAAATTAATTAGGCGGCAAGTAAATTTTTGAATTAAAAAAGTCACCACTTAAAAAGATACAAAAATTCTGTAAGCATCTACATGTTAAATAATGGCATATCTGATTAATTGTATTTGACCAAAATTCTAAAACAAGCATATTGTCCTCAGGTAAAGTATTAATGTTCATATCAAACATTAGAACAAGGAAAAAATGAGATCTAATTGACTTTTTCTGTGGCATGGTTGTTAGTGCCAGAAGGGGTGGTTTGAACATTTCCAAAACTACTTATCTCTTGTGATTTTCACCCACAACAGTCTCCAGAGTTTACACAGAATGATGTATAAAAACAAAAAAACATCCAGTGAGCAGCAGTTCAGTGGGCAGAAACGCCTTCTTGATGAGAGGGGTCAGAGGAAAATGGCTAGATTTTTTTGAGCTGACAGGAAGGCTACATCAACTCAAATAATTACTTAAAACAGTTATTAATAATTAATAAAACAGTGGTGATCAGAAAAACATTCCTGAATGCATAACACCATCAAACCTGGAGATGAATGGGCTACAACAGCAGAAGAACACATTGGGTTCCACTTTTCTCAGTCAAGCACAGGAACCTGAGGCTACAAAGGGCACAGCCTCACCAAAACTGGACAGCTGAAGACATTGCCTGGTCTAATGAATCTCAATTTCTGCTGCAACAAGCAGATGGTACAGTAAGAATCTGGCATAAACAGCAAAAATCCAAGGAGCCAACCCACCTTGTATTAAGAGTTCAAGCCTTTGGTGGCAGTGTACTAACTGAGCATTGTTTGATTGCCACGGTCTATCTGAGTATAGTTGCTGAACATGTGCATCTCTTTAGCCCATCTTCTAATGCCCATCTTCTCCAAGCATGATAATGCACCTTGTCACAAAGCAGCAGAAATCATCTCAAACTGATTCTATGAACATGAAACCAAGCTCTGTGTACTTCAATTGTCCCCCAGCCATCAGATCTGAATCCATTATAGAATTCTTTTCGGATGTGGTAGAACAGGAGACTCACAGTCTGAATGGGCAGCTGTCAAAACATCAACAATTACATGAAGAAATCATGTCAACATGGCTTAGAATATCTAAGATATGTTTCCAACACCTTGCTATACCCATGCCAAAAAACGTCAGGCTGTTCTGAGAGCAAGGGAGGGTCCTATCCAAAGCTAGAATGGTGTTCCTAATAAAGTGGTCAGTAAGCAGGGCCAAAACTAGGATAAGAATTTTAGAGAGGTCCATTTTGCAAAAATGTGATCTACATCTCAGAGTGAATAAAATAACTGTCAAATATGAGAATTACACCAACTGTAAGTTTCCCCTTTAGTTTTTTTTTAACATGATCACTGCAAAATCATCAATCCTTTGTTTACCTATCCATAACTGTTATGCACCTTTTACTTTCATTTGTTCCTTCCCCATCCCTCCTTTCTTCCATGAAGTGCTATTACTGTTTCATAAACTGATTTGACTCCTACCCTGTTTAAGTTTATTTATTGAATAATTGAACTATTTATTAAATGTTTATTTTAGCTAAAAATGCATATTGAAACCTACACTACATCAAGTGATAGTTTCTAAT